CAAATTAAAAGGAAAGCATTCACTCCCCCCCCATTACCTGAAAAGGGGGCAACTTATCACATTTATGGAAATGCAAGTTTTCGAAGGGCGAATGCCTTTCTTACTTAGTTTATTAACTGCTTCCTTTCCTTCTTCCCTAAACATTCTGGCTGTCTCCAATTTCATTCTTGGTAGTGTTGCTTTAAAAAACTGCTGAGAAGTCCTTTTGCAGGCAGGGCAATTTTCATCAAGGTGTGTGTGTGATTGACAAGGCAGAGCCTTTGACAAACAGGCAGGCTTTCTGCTCACTCAGCTTGGAGAGGCTGTGGAGGATTCGCAGGGTGGAAGACTGAGAGGAGGAGATCCCTGTGTGCAGCCTGCTTGCTCCAAGCCAAAGCTTGCTACTGGGGGGAGGGCAATGGAAGGGACCCAGGGAGTCACACGCATGCCTACATGTGCACGCACACACCCTGAGCTACTCATTTGGACTTACACGTGGCCAATGAGAACTCAGAAACTGTGCTCCCTTTCCCCCTCCCTCATGGAATTAGCTTGTCCATTTTTTCCCTAGGGCCTATACAGGAGTAGGCAACCTTGGCTCTTTTATGACTCATGGACTTCAACTCCCAGAATTCCTGAGCCAGCATAGCTGGCTCAGGAATTCTGGAAGTTGAAGTCCATGAGTCATAAAAGAGCCAAGGTTGCCTACCCCTGGCCTATAAGATGACAGGAAGGGTTGGGCAGGCAGGGAGAGCTGACCCACCCAATCCAAGCAGGCTTTGTATACAACAACCAGCCAAGGTTCATCGCTTGCTGTGATTGGCTGGTTGTTGTATACTGGGTACATACAGTACAGCACCAGTATCTGTACCAGTTCATACAGTACAGCACCAATACATACAGTACAGTATACAAATGTCCAATAGTCAAGACCCCATCATGGCTCCACCAGCAAGAAGAAAGAAATATGAAGCCAGTTTCAAACTTAAAGTTGTAAACTTTGCCATGGAACATAATAACTGCGCTGCTGCAAGACAATATGGAGTAACAGAAAAGATGGTTCGGGACTGGAAAGCAAATGAAAAAGCATTAAAGAGTATGCCAAGGGGTAAGTGTGCATTAAGAAGAGGCACCCCACATTGGCCAGAACTTGAAAAACATGTAGCAGACATGGTGAATGAGCATCGCCAAAACGGGTATGTAGTGACACGAAATAAAATACGTTTGTTTGCACTTCAGTGGGCCAAATCTAACCCAGATCACAGCAACAGATTTAAGGCCACTGCATCCTGGTGTACTAGATTCTTGGAAAGGCATAATATGGTACTGAGGCAAAAGACGAAAATTGCACAAAAATTACCTGCAGATCTTGATAGCAAAGTAATTAGTTTCCATCAATACATAATACAACAGCGCATTAAACATGGCTATGCATTAAGTAGTATTGGAAATATGGATGAAACTCCAATGAATTTTGATATGGTTGGAAATAAAACTGTCCATCAAAAAGGTGAAAAAACAATTTTAATTAAAACAACAGGACATGAGAAGTCCAGTTTTACAGTGGTACTAGCATGCACAGCTGATGGTGCCAAACTGAGACCAATGATTATTTTTAAAAGAAAAACAATGCCAAAACTCAAGTTCCCTGTTGGTTGTTTTGTACATGTGAATGAAAAAGGCTGGATGGATGAAGAAGGGGTAAAGCTATGGCTTGATAATGTATGGAGCAGGCGACCAGGTGGACTTATTCAAAAACGTAGTCTACTGGTGTGGGATATGTTCAGGGCTCATTTAACTCCCAGCACCAAGCAAAAGCTTGCAAGACTAAACACAGATGCGGCAGTTATTCCTGCAGGATTAACATTGTTAGTACAGCCACTGGATGTATGCCTAAACAAGCCATTTAAAGATCGCATTCGAGAACAGTGGAATGAATGGATGGTTAGTGGCGAAAAGTCATTCACAAAAGGAGGAAACATGCGTGCTCCACAATTGGATGTTTTGTGCAAGTTTGTCATAAAAGCCTGGAATGATATTGATGCAGAAACAATAATCAAGTCTTTCAAGAAGTGTGGCATATCAAATTCATTAGATGGTATGGAGGACGACTACTTGTGGCAAGATGAAGAGGAAGCCGAAGCTGAGACCACACCATCTGATACGGAATTCGATCCATACGATGACTGCCTTGCAAATGTATCACAAGATGTCATTGATATTTTTATGATATCAGATGATGAACAGGATGATTTTAAAGGCTTTTAAAGGGAAAGTATCATGCCAGCAAAACCTATAAAAATAGCTTGCAGTTATGATGGGCGTTGCTGACTCGCCAGGGACTTGCCCGGCACTTGCTCTCTCTATTGTTTGTTATCTTCCTCCTATCATCATCAGTTCCAGTTTGGTTGACAGCTTAGAAAACAAATAGCATGGCAGCTCCCATGGGTTTATTGTCTTATCCTTCCTTTCAGCTTTAGAGTGAATTAGGAAAAGTTTAATCACTTGCACTGTTTTATGTTTACATGTTTGATGACAAACAGCCTTATATTTATAAGTGACAGTTTTCCTGCTAAGTACCTGCATGTCATAAGATTTGAATTAAAATTACCATATTGAAATCAAATCTGATGTTTTTTTAATTTTTATTTGGTGTGCGTTGGAAGAGAGGTAGTCTTATATGGCAAGTATAGCCCAAACTCTATATTTTAACTGGAAAAGTTGGGGGTCGTCTTATACGCCCAGTCGTCTTATACGCCGGAATATACGGTATGTTGTTTGACGCAGAAAAAAACCATCCGATTGCCATTTTTTTTGAGAGGACTAACAAATTGTCTATTTTTCCATCTTGATGTAGTTGTCTTAAACTGTTTATCTTCTCTTCAGTCTGTTGTTCTTCTTGATCCTCAGGTTTCTTCTGATTTATGTAGAAAATCTTTTCCCTTTTCCACATTGTCAGTCCCTTTTCTGGGTTTTCCATTGACTGTATTTGTTGATCAGTTTAATCCTCTGTCATATTATTTAATTAGTCCATTTTTTCCATTATATTCTGTGTAGTTGATTTTTCAGTTGTAATCAAAATCTGAGTTCGTGTATCTGGGCTGACATACCATTCTTTTCTACAATCTCTTATTTCATTAATAGCTGTAAGAATAGTTTGGTAAATTGCTTTCAGCATAAATAGAATCTGTTTCTGATCTTCCTCCATATTCTCTTAGTAATGTATTAGATTAAAAGCTTTGCAATCAGAATGTAAAAAAAAATTCAGTGAGTATGGAACACAGCTTGGTTTCACAGCTGATAGGTGTCTCAAGGTTATAAGTCTTGTTTATTGTGTAGGCTGCCAGCCAAGTCTCTTTTAAGCAATAACAGCTTGTAATATCAGGTTTAGCCACAAGATGTCGCCCCTATATTTAAAATTTTCCTTTAGGTCCGAAGTTTTTATAATCTTTTCAGTTTTACTTCTTTTTTATATGTAAAAACCCAGATCTTCAGTAAGAGTAGAAAGTCTTTTAGTCCACAAACTTTAAGAAGTAAAATTCCAATTAGGATCAAGTTATTCTTGCAACATTTTTAAACTCCCCTGGATAGTCAGTTGCCGCTGTTTTAAGAGGGAGGAGTAAAATCTCCCTTCCCTCTCCACAGGGGGAAAGTACTTAAGCAGCTTATGCAGGTAAAAAAGATAGATAGGATTTAAGAGAGGTAGATCTCACCCAGTCTCTTCTGCGCTGCTTTAAAGTTGCCTGATGATAAGTGTGACTTCGACTGTCTGCAGCCTAGTGACGAGCCATATTTCTATGGCCGGTCTTTTGTCCACCGGTTTGGAGGGCTGCCCTGGATCAAACAGAAGGGCTACTGCCCTTCTGCGATCACAGGGATTCCCTCCTTGCTGGTCGCCCCTACAGGGCAACTTTTGACCCTTTCTAGGGTCCCCCAGCGAAGCAAAACTGGATGCGGAAGATGGAGCTCACCTTCCAAATGCCCATGTCAGCCACGTCGGCAAACCAGAAGTCCTTCTCCTTACGTATTTTATGCCATCACTACCAAACAGGGAGATGTTGGTCTCATCACTCCAAATAACACTGTCCCATTGTTCCTCTGTTTCATGGGTTTTAGCCCAGTTTAGTTTTTTCAACCTTTGTTTGAGAGATAAAAGTGGCTTTTTTCGTAGAATTCTAGATTTTAGGCCAAATTCCTGCAATCTGCACCGAACAATCCTTGCACTCAACTTCACATTGCATTGTGCCATTTTATCTTGTATACACCCAGATGATTTTCTTCTGTCATGTAGGCACAATCTCTTAATTCCTCTACCACTTGCTGTTGTGCACCTTTTCCTGCCATTACCAGTGTGGTTTTGTAGTGACTGAGTCTCCTTATATCTCTTCAAAAACTTAGAAATGCCACCTTTGGTTAAGTTTCCACCAATTTTTCTTCTAATTTCTTTATAACCGTAGCCTTGTTCACTTAATAATACTATTTTACATTGGTTTCTGGATGACCAATCTACTCTTTGCACCATTACTTTAATTTTATTACATTTTACAAGCTCACTAAATGAAAGAACACAAAAAAACCCCAACCAACTTGATTGTGATCACATAACACACTGATAAATGTCCTCCTCTCAGCTTCAATACATGACATCAATGACTGAATCCTACTGTGATCTGATTGGCTCATTATGAAAACAAGATGACACCTGATTGGCTCTCTAAATACTCCTGCTCATTGGCTACAATCAGATGAAGGAAAGCTACCTGATATCAACCTAAGCAAGTTGTGCTTGCTTTTTCTGGTTATTTGGCTATAACTTTTAATAGAATACAGATAATTGAACAAGCTTTGTTGCATTACATTCTTGATTAAATTATCTTTCCATTGATATATACTTTTATAGTACTACTCCAGAAAATGGTGTTATTAGCCATCAAGCCTTTCCCAAAAGGTTTCCACAATTTTGGCCACTATTTAGAACTTAATTACTGTCTTTAAAAAAGTAAGTCTGGATTTTGAGAATATTCCTAAAACTATTTTATTTATTTACTTTGATGCATGCAACCTATTCCAGGAGATCTGCTTGTAATTTCTTAAATTATAATTGGATATAATTGGTTTATTAATACCTATAGTCCCAAAAGACAAGAGATTTGGTCTCTTGAAATCAGTGAAATGGTCAAAGTCTTGTTCAGATAAAAAAAAGTCTTTTACCTGTGTTTGAAGATGTAAAAATCTTTAGTATATAATTATATGGTAGTCTTCTCTTAATGACGGCTGTTTAGTAATTGTTTAAAGATAAGACTTTGCTGGAAAGGTGACTTTATGCCTTGGTCCTCACACTTACAATTGTTGCAGCATCCCCATGGTCACATGATTATTGAGATTTGGGCAGTTCAGACCAAATAGTTGCAGCATCCCATGATCTTGTGATTGCCACTTACATGTTATGTAGCCATTGACAAGCAGAGTCAATAGAGAAATCAGCAGTAAAATCACAAGCTGCAGTCAGGTGTTGTCTTGCTTAATGGCTGGGATGATTGGCTTAATGACCATGATGCAAGTGAGATTGTAAACCTGTTGTGGTTGTGTGATGTCTCTCATAATAATCATGTTTCTAAGCAAGTGTTGCAAGTCTTAATTGTGGTTATTGAACAAGTAGTACCTAACCTGGTTGGTTTATGAGGGCTGCTATAATTGGCCTGCAAAAATCTCTAGAAAAGGGCCAGAAAATATCCCTTTGCTGCCTTCTAGTAAAGGTAGCCTTTGAGTTACAACAGTTCATTTAGTGACCATAATGATGTATGACCATTTTCACACTTATGACTGTTGCAGCATCCCCATGGTCACATGATTAAAATTCAGATGCTTGGCAATTGACTCATAGTTGTGACTGTTGCAAAGTCCCAGGGTCAAGTGATCATCTTTTGCAACCTTCTGACAAACAAAGTCAATGGGGAAGGCATATTCTCAGCCTTTAATCTGAGCACTGAGAAGTTCATCTGAAATCTTCTACAAATACTTTTACCTTTAGAGATGATAATTTTGTAAGAAAGGATGTTTTCTGGGGTGAGACTTACTAACACGGATGGTAGGCTACCACTTTCTTCCTCAAAAAAGCATTTTATTTTATAATTAAAGTTGTATGCTTCCCAACTACTCTAAACAAACTTACAGAGCTGCAGATGGAAAACCATTCCACAAGCAGTTTCTTCTTCTGATGGTACCATTTAATGCAATTCTTGCATTTATAAAAAGGCAAGCTAATGTAAAATCTTACATTTCCCATCTGTTATTTAAAGTTCTGCGATGAGATCAACGAGTGCTAGACGATCTAATCTGTTTTCTGATCATTTCTCATTTCTTTGCTTAGAAGAAGACATAGGGTAATGGGATGCACCAGCTCAGGACTGTGATGGCAATGGGTTAATCCTATTGCTTTGTCATTTTCTTTCTGACTGTCACCCGAATGCTCAAAATAATGTTCCAAATATAAATGCTGTCAATCAGCAGAGAAATTCCATTTCATTATAGAGGAAGAAGATGGCAGCAGGACTTTGATTATAATAAACAGGCCATCTTCAGTAATCAAAACAGAAAATAATTACTCTGAACAATTAAAATATTACAGGGAGTGCTGGAGAATGATTATTCCTGTCTACCACCATTTTAACTAAAAATAAAGGTGGCACTCAATGAGGTAGAAGAAATGGTTTGAAGAGAATGAACTGAAGCATGCCATTGTTGTTTTTCCTGAACCATACAATCACCTGGCTGAGTTTATCCTGCTGTCCGAGTCTTGTTCCAAACTGACATACTTGAAGGGCTAAGAGCAAGGTGACACTCAGTTGGATCTCATAGTGCACATCTACTGGAAGTGAGCTGCCCGAGGCTTCCAGCATTCCATGGCGTCTCTGCTTTGCCTGTTAGGAGGCTCTGTTGAGCAGACCAGGATCTGAGGCTGATGCAGCATGGTGCAGCTTTTCATGTTGCTAGAGAGGCCGTTCTCAGTCGTGCATTCCTCAGGGCTCTGTCTTGGAGTTTCTGTACAGGATGGTTATGGTGGCTAACTTCACACAGCACTTATCCTCGCATCTGCTGTCAAACAAGTGGGATACCCAGCCAGTATGAAAAATTCTAGCTGGGGGGAGGAGGAGAAAGGGAAAAAAGAGAGAGGAAAGTTGGGTTAAAGAGAGCCAGTTTGAAAGTGGAAGACTGTTGAGTTCTTGTCCCACTTTAGCCATGAAAGCCAGCTGGGTGATCTTGGGCCAGTCATTCTCTCTTAGTCCAGCATTAGATACTGTGTCTGTTTTGTGGAATAATAAGGGCTATAAAGGAGCCAAGTACAGAGCAGTAGGAGACTTCAGTAACTAGTTGAGTTATTGAATAACCAAGGAGAGAGGCATAGAGAGTAGGGGGATATGACCGACCATATTCCTGTTTAGGTCAGTGCTCTGAATAGGAACCACAGTTTTGGAGATCTTAGAGTGGTTGAGGAGCTGCCACAAATTCCATAGGCAGGTCTTGATAATACCAGGAGACTGGGCTAAGATGCAGAAGGACAGATTGTATATCACTGGAAACTTGATGTTCTGTGAGCTTGGTTTTCTTGCAGACATTTTGTTCTATGCACAGGAGGATGTAGTTTGCTGGGTTGTTTATATTTGGCATTCATACAGAAAAAAATAATTCCTAGTTGGAAAATGTATGTGCATTCTAATTGACCTAGGAGTTCAGCAGACAATGCTACCATCATAGAAGATGGAAGAGCATGGGTATCATAAAGGTTCTGGTTGCTAGGCCAAAACCTATTTTATCAGGAATATCAGCAAAATAGAAAGCTTGGCTCTAACACATATTTCTTTCTATCTTCCATCTTTTCTCTAGACAGTTATACTTCTTTTCACTGTTAATAGCCAATCATATTTTATGGATCACAGATTTAAGTACACAGGCAAGAATAATTTATGTAAAGAGATGCTCCAATTGATATGTTCTCCTGATGATATGCTAGTTCTTATAAAATCAATACTTTAAAAAAAATGTTTTAAATGAAATTATGTTTACCATAAAGTAAATATCTGTTTCTCCTATCCCATTGGTCAAACAACTTACAGCTGTGGAAAAAATCTTTCTACAAAACCTAATTCCAGTGGTGAAAATGAGGTCTATTTACATTGTTGCTAATAAAAAAATGAATCCATTGTCGAAAGACCTATTCAAACACTATGAATGCTCAGATAAAATTGTAAAATATTAGAAATTAACTCATTTTCAAAGGTGGCACAAATTGGGAAGAAACTCTTTAGCCATTGAATTCAACCTTAATTCAGGAATGCAAAGTGAAGCATCCTGACAAACATGTTCCCAAATCGGCTCTTAAGAATCTGTCATAATGTATTAATTTCTTAGAAAACATTTTCTTAGAAAATATTTCATTGAGGAATTCAATGAATAATTTAATTTGTCCAGCAGATGGCATTTAATATACAGGAAAGCCACATTATATTCTACATTTGCAAATATTTGGTAGCAAGTAATCCAATAGTATCGTTTTCCCCTTCTTCCTATTAGCACATTTACATTTGCAAATATTTAGTAGCAAATTATTCAGTAGATATCATTTCCCCTGTCCTCCTATTAGTACTACAGGCTAATGTTTGAATATAATAGTTTATTTGTGAAAATATAGTATCCAGTAAGTGCTTTAGAAAATGAATTACTATTGCTGGCTTGTTACAGATAGGAATTTAGGCCAAATGCACTCCCAGGTGAAAGATGGTGCTAACCTCTAGATGTAGTGTCAAATTTCAATCCCTCATCCAACATGCACACTTGTTCCACTATGACAGGGGTAGGCAACCTTGGCTCTTTTATGACTTGTGGACTTCAACTCCAGAATTCCTGAGCCAGCACAGCTGGGAGTAGAAGTCCACGAGTCATAAAAGAGCCAAGGTTGCCTACCCCTGCACTATGATCTGGTTTGGTTGAATACCTGTAAGTTTGTTACCCTGGTTTTGGAAAAATAATATGGTTTAAAGTTGTGAATGTGATTTTGGAGTTATTAAACATGAGATACAAAAAAAAAAGAGTGCCATTAACATTTTTCAATGTTGGATTGATTCGATGCTTGCTCTCTGTTTGGAGGTATGTGTTTGTGTGTGTCTGTGTGTATTTTTTTCCTTACTTATTTTTATAGCATTCTTCATTATTTCTTTCTATATACCAAAACAAAGTATATGTCTACCATTCTCATGTTGGTTCTCCACTGAATTTCAAATAAGCAACTTATTTTCTTTTTTCTCTCCTATTGCAAACAATATCTCAATTGGCTTGACCTCTAAATCACAAAGTATTAGGTAGCTCTAATTATTGGAGCATTTGTTAGAGTTATAAGTGGGAATAATAAGTAGATAATGCAAGGGAGAGTGTGTACATGCATAGTATAGCAAGGTTTGGCCTTTCACCATAATGTACTATTGGCTTCAATCTACAATTCATCCAAGGTAGCATTTTCCATCTGCTGATAACTCCTGAAAGAATTAATGTGATTTTAAGTTGTGGAAGCAAGTATCTGGAGCCATGCTTTCCAGTATTTTTGTAGTTTGTATTTGCATGTCATTTCATTCATAATAGATAGACTATAATACCAGCCTTAAACCTTTAATGGTTTAAAAGAAAGCAGCTGGACACATACTTTTATCTTAGTGCATTCCTTGCAGAGTTTAATTTTTTTTTGTAATTTTATTGAAAATTACAGTTAGAAGACGTAAAAACTAATAAATGCAAAAAAGTAAGAAAAAGGAAAATAAATAAAAAGAAAAGTTTATAAAAAAGTTAATTTTCCTCTCATCACAGGTATAAACAATTTTAGTAATTTATTACCAACTATTAAAATATAACATACACTCGCTTCATCCCATATCTCACCTGTTAACTATAAACAAAATCCAAAAACTTTGTAATTCATTATTTATTAGCAAAAGTTCAAAAATTACTATATATCTATTTTAACCATGGTAAAGCAAAGTGTAGATGACAGAGGGAAAGAGATGCTGCCTAGGAAACAACCAGACCAAAAAAAAAAAAAAAAAAAAAGGCAGAGCTCCTAAAGATTTAAAAGTCAGAGAAAGAAATTTAGGAAAAACCAATTCTAATTGACCAGACTGTTGAAACCAGTGACAGGAAGTTTGCACTTTCACATTTGCAAAATTCTGTTCATGTAGCCTTGCAGTAAAGTAGAATTAGTTCATCTAATTATATTGCCTGTTTACCTGGGAAGGCTGACAATATTTCTTCTCTCTATTTTTAACAATCTTGGTTTTTAATCCCCTTCAAATAATACCCCAAATCTTTATATCTATGTCAGACATTCTTAATTTCTGAGTCCATTCTTCAAAAAGGTTCTTCAGAACATCAATTGTTAAAGTATTTTGCACCATTCTTTGTTAACATGTAGAGTTTAAGAATTCTTCTCCTTTAATTGTAATCTTTATTTTTTTTCTATTTCTCCCTATTGTCCACACTTCAAAGTGCTATTCCAGGGGTGTCAAACTGCTGGCCTGCGGGCCGGTTTCATCATACCGGAGCCGCGCCCACCCCATTGCCGGCAATGGCAAAAAAGCTCCGATACGTCACGCGATGTCATGTGACATCGCAAGTTTGACATGCCTGTCCTATCCTATCATATTTTTCCCCACAAAGAACTCAAAGAACCAGTTTTCCATAGGAAGGACATTTATAATTAATGTCAAATTTTTATTCCAAATCCCTCTTGTGGTGAAATGTCGTCTGAATTTTTAGGAGGGAGGGCATGCAATCCAGAGGAGCAAAAGTCAGTGAAGTTTTGATTGTCTGGGAGGAAGAGAATCAAAACAGCTCCTCCTTGGAATTCTCAGAGTATATGTTTAACAGTGTAAATAATTGTAGTAATCACTCCTTAGTCATTGAAGGGTGCAAAGAAATGGCCACCTACTACGCAGCCGTTTATTGTTTTTATAGAGTTTTTCAAATAGCAATAGATACAGCATGGCAACAGCATTTCATTGGCTAAAATCCTTTACCAATCCTCAAGAGTAAAAAGTTAGAGGCCATAAACAGGAAAACTTGTTGTTCCACCAATTAGCCTTATCGAATTGGCAAGGTCAGATAGACCTGCGTCACGTCACCATGGTGATGTGGGGGGGGGGAGAAGAAGATGCATAAACAAAGGCACAAACGTTGGTAGGGCAGTTTTCTGCTCGCAACTTTCGCCTGTCTCTTATCCCTACATCTCACTCCTTTTTGTTTTGTTAGACGAAATATCGCCATAAGCGGGGTTAATAAAAAGATTATAATCAGGAGAGGAGCATCCTTGCAGTTGTTAATATAGGGCCAAAACTTGACCCTGAGGCAATGTGAGAGAGGATCTACTGGGATTTAAAGCTCTAATACATATATTGCAAAATAAAAGAAATACATTACATAAACAGCACCCATAAAGATCCTAAGGTATCAATTTTCAAATCAAAGGCCAAATTGTGTAAAATTTAAATCTGGTGCTGGATGGTTCATGAATTATCAGAAATATTGAAACAATACATTTCCTCAAAACATTTACAACCGAAATGCTGGTGTAGAAGCAAATAATCAATTGCAGCGTGATTTTGCAAAATAGTTCTCAAATTTTGCAGTTCATGGTTGATCGTTGAAATAGTTGAAGAAGTAGTATTAATTGTCTTTGCCAAATTTCTTGTAATAGCATTAATGTTGAGGTGGGCACGAACAGCAAGTCCTGGCACGCCCACTGGAGATATAGCCAATGCTACAAAGTAAGGTTGTCTCAGAGTCACAAGTGTTGTCTAGTGTGACTTCACGTGGAGAATGGTTCATGTGAACTTGTTGTTTGGAAAGCAAAACAGGAATCAGCTGGCTGAGGCCACATTGCGCTTCACTAATATTAGCAGGAATATGATTTAAAGTTTCTTGACCACACGTAAAAAACCCTCCTTGCAGTAGCCAAGCATGTCCAAAATGAAAGGAAGTCTCTATTGAAGCTGTGCAATTTAAAGCAGGTGAGCCAATCCGATGACAGTGAGGTTTTTTAAGCAATAACCTCCCAGAGTCAGTGAAGTTTTGAATTACTGCAGAAGGGGTGCAAACAAAGACTAAACATATAGAAAGCAAATTACATGTAATACATTTCAGATAAACAAAAGAAGTCATTTTGTGTGATGTTAGATTTTGCTTCATTCGTTGTTCGAATGATTGTTTGAGTGGGATGACAGTTACAGTTGTCAAAGGGCAGATGTTAATGATCAGACATAAACAAATGATGGATAAGAAATTTGCAGTTAAAACCGCAAAAATGGCAGCACACAGGTTCTTGGGGATCAAGTTCTTTACATCTCCCCACGTCACTGGCTGCCTGGCATGTCAGGATTGGATTACTTGCTGTGCCATCTATAGAGTCACCCTTGCCATTTCTGGGACTGGGTCCAGGGACTGGTGCCACGACATCCCTGGCTGGGTGATCAAAACGCGCTGGAATCCGCAAAGGTCCTGTTGGAGCAAGCACAGCAGTGTAGTCCCGCCCCCAAGTGATCAGAGGGACTGGTCCCAATCATGCTTTGTCTGGTAATGCCCGATAATATACCAGAGGTGGAGGCAAGCTTGTTTTCTGTTGAGAATGTCTCTGATAAGCAGTCAAATTTGGAATGGAAATATTCAATTGGTGTGATGTAAATAATACTTTTTGAACCTGTTGTATTACCCATGACAAATTGGGTATCCTAGATAATCCGTCCTTTTTTATTTGTTTGTGAAGGCAATCCTTGAAAGACCAATTAGCACGTTCTACGATAGCTTGACCCATGGAATTATAGAGAAGACCATGAGTAAAAACAATATTTCAGGTTGTATAAAATTGTCCAAAAAAAGATGAAAAAAAAATATGTGAACCTGTTTCCCCTCATAGAGGTGGGGGAAATTGTTCCTAAATACCTATTTATGAATATACATTTGTAAGAAGCCAAAAAAAAAAAATGGATAATGTCCATTTGTCATAGTTGATTAGAGGCAAAACCACATAAAAGACATACAAAAAAAATTAGGCCCAGGAAGGGAGGAGTGATTGTGTATATGAGAAACAAAATTATAAATGCTTTCAGTTATGGAGCAGCTGCTGCAAAGTTAAAAACAAGGTCATAAGATTGGGGCCAATCCTGGGCGTGATGTAAGCACCTGAAGAAGTAAAAGTAAGTTGGCATACTTAATGAGAGTCAGAAATTAAGTTAAAAGACTGTTGAGAAAAGGTTTGAAAAGCTAAAATAATTCTGAGCATTGTGATAAGGGTTGCATTGCAATTTAGGACACTTTCCAGGTATCATCCTTGTAAGCAATTATTCCTCTCATTCACCCTCCATCAGAAAAAGCAATAACTTGTGGCAAGGGAGAAAGAGAAAGAAAATAAATGATATGAAAGTCAGTTAAAGCACATTAAAGAGATAAGTTATTTTTGAAAACAATATTAATTAATCAGTTCCTTTTCGACTGCAAGCTCTTGTGCGTCCTAAGGTTATCATTTTAGCAACCACCTGGATAAAAAATAAAACATTTTGGGATGGGATATGGTAGGTAAATATTATTCAATTCAATATACTTTCTGCACTTCTATTACAGTTAATGCTCCATTAGGTAATTTACTAGGAGGAAAAAATCAAAAGTGTAAAATTCTGTCCACAAATTGAGTATTCATGATGTCATCAATTTGTGCAACTATATTTTTTCTGGCACTTATTGCAATCCTAAATCATTTTATATTTTCTGAAAGCCAATTAAATTGTATCTTTGGTGCTTCAATTTAAACAAAGTCCATTTAGAGGGAAACAATTTGTATATAAATAGGTTAAACATTTATAAATCTATTACAATGTAATTCAGTTAGTTCTTTTGGTTGTTGGATATAAAAAATATTGTCCAACATTACTGTTTCTCTTTTGAGTAAAAAAATTTATTTGCTGAAACTGCATAGGTGAATGTCAAGTTTCAGATTCACTCCACTCTTCTCAGATTACAATTATTTTTTATTTTTCCAAACTCTCCCCCATACATATACCGTAATACTTATCAGATATTACGATACATTCCCTCCACACTCACTCTTCTCTACCTTCTTTCTCCCTTTCTTCTTTTCCTACTTCCCTCTTCTTCCTCTCCTCTCCTTAACCACTCTGCTTCCCTTTCCTCTTCCTCCAACCTTCCTACTTCCTTCTCCCCTCCTTTACTCTTTTCTCTCTCCTCCCGTTTCTTCCCTCTCATCACTCTTCAGATACAATTCCAAGCAGAGGAAAAAAAAATTTTAAACGAACAGTTCCCCCCCCCTCCTTCCTGTCTCTGGCTCTTTAAGCAACGCAGCCAACCGAAAGAGACGGGGGGGGGGGGAGAAATCTCACCACCAAAAAATAGTTTTACCTCCTTCCTATACATCTTACAATAAATTCTTCTCATACATACTCCATGAAATTCTTCTCATACAAATATTTATTATTATTTTCACAGTTAGGGAAAAAATGGGTGGGTTTTGAAGGCTAACACACACTTCAACAAATTAACTCATTCAGTTTCATACTGACTGTTTGCATAAAACCATTCCACATAAAATTATTTCATTTCATACTTTCTCCAGGCAAACCATATATTCTTAGCAAGGCCTTTTTGTATTGCTGTTATCAGAGAGGGCTTTGAGCCTCTTCCAAGTCTTAGAATAACACAGAACAACACAGACAAACATATATACACAAATACTGTTACAACAACATTTATTTAGACATATAACTTGTCTTGCAAGAAGCGAAAACGACAAGGTGATTTCAACCAAAAAGTGGTTTTGAGGGCTCTAATCATTTCCCATTTTTCTCACCATTCCAAGCCCAAGCATAATGTTCTGAGTGGCCACACACACACACATAACAAAACACAACCAGACATTTGTCTGACGGCTAACTTAATATATTGCAGAGCATTCCGATTGCTCAAAAAACTTTGTTCTGAGGGAGTAAATTTTGATTTATGACTTTAACTAATCAACAAAGAATTAGCCTCTTCAGAAGAAGCTGAAAATCCAATTAAAGATGTTTTTTGAAGGAATAAATTTTACTTAGTTGCAAGCAGAAGCGGGCTGATAGTTAATTGCCGTTCTGAAGTATTTGGGTCCATTTTTTTTTCTTTTGACAGGAGTGAACACTATAGTGTTTTAGCCTAAGCGTCCGATGCTTAAGATTCGAAGAATACTGTTTTCTTATCTCCCCAGTCAGCTTCCTTATGTTCGTTTAAAGCCTTGCCAGGCCTGATTTCTGTAGCAGGAGTCTGAACTCCTGTACATGCTTTTGCTGAGGGTGAGATAATTTACAGCCCATACTTACTCACTGAGGGGTCTCGTAAGACGAAAGTGCACCTAGGAGTCTGTTCCAGACGATGGTAAGTATGTTGGCAGCTGCTTCTTCCCGTAGGGGTCCCAAAACAAAATGTCCCTGCTGAGGGCGCCAGCTGTAGTAATCACTCCTTAGTCATTGAAGGGTGCAAAGAAATGGCCACCTACTACGCAGCCGTTTATTGTTTTTATAGAGTTTTTCAAATAGCAATAGATACAGCATTTCATTGGCTAAAATCCTTTACCAATCCTCAAGAGTAAAAAGTTAGAGGCCATAAACAGTAAAATTTGTTGTTCCACCAATTAGCCTTATCAAATTGGCAAGGTCAGATAGACCTGCGTCACGTCACCATGGTGATGGGGGGGGGAGAAGAAGGTGCATGCATAAACAAAGGCACAAACGTTGGTAGGGCAGTTTTCTGCTTGCAACTTTCGCCTGTCTCTTATCCCTACAAATAATCTGCTTTAATTTGGCAAGATTTCTGTCTATAGGTGAGGAATAATAAAGGAAACTGCTTAAAACAGGGGTCTTCAAATTAGGACTTGTGGACTTTGACTGGCTGAGGAATTCTGGGAGTTGAAGTCCACAAATCATAAAAGGGCCAAGTTTGAAGACCCCTGGCTTAGAAGAACTTCAGTGCATCTTTCTTGTTGTCTGGAGCCTGACATCTCAGGATCTGAAAGTTAAAAAAAGTTTGTTTTTAACTTTCCAAAATTTGCAAAAAATTTCATCTCAGATACAATGGTTTCAGGAAAGTATTGTCCCAGATGCATACTGCACTATTGCACCTCATTTTTAGTGATTACAAATACCAACCTTTTATGTTTATCTTTTTCCTTCTTCCTCATCTCTAGCCTGAATTGTTCCCTTGGAATGATAATGATTTCAGTGGGAATGCAAGCATTTCCTGAACCTGTACTACTGAGATATCTCTTATTAAGTAGGTCTGCATACATATTCTTGATGTAGTTTAGAGATTGGCAGCATTGTGCTTGATCAATATCAATATGATTGTGTCTGTTTCTAAAATTGCCCCACCTGACTACTTTCTTTTAGATTGCTTTAATTAAAATAAATGAAATTGTCATGCCAACTATGATAGCCATTTTATGAAAGCATGAACATTCTATACTTTGAAAATTCCAAGTGTGTCTCTTGGCACAAAGGTGATATGCCTATCCCTGGTTTATTCTGAATAGACTTCAGAAATCAATGAGGTTATATGCTTGTTTAGATATTGCTGAAGGAATATTAAAACTTTTTGCAGAACATGTGTTTCATTTATTTGCAGTTTGCTTTACAATAAGCCTGCTTATTCTAAGTACTTTTCTCACACAAACATTCCATGGATTTCTTTCATAAGCATAAAAAGGCAGTCTTTCATAATTTCTGTCACATGTATGACACGTATACCCAAATAACTGAAAATGCTGTAGCTCACAGGTCGGCAACCTGCGGCTCCGGAGCCGCATGCGGCTCTTTGAGCCTTCCCCTGCGGCTCCCAGCCTCCTCTGCCTTTGCAGAGAGAGACAGAGACAGAGAGAGGAATTGCGCTTCCCTGCTTCTCTCTCTCTCTCTTTCTGTGTGTGTTTTGTGTGTATGTTGTGTGTGTGTGTGTGTGTGTGTGTGTGTGTGTGTGTGTAAAAAAGAGAGTGCACTCACAGTGTTCTCCGAGGAGCTGAAAAGCTTTCTGGGCGGAGCTCCTCCCTTTGCTGCGTGTCTGCAGGAAGCAGGAAGCAGGAAGAGCAGGAGAGAGCTAGCTAGCCCAGCTAGGCTGACTCAGGAATTCTGGGAGTTGAAGTCCATGAGTCATAAAAGAGACGAGGTTGCCTACCCCTGAGATTGTTGGAGAACAACTTAAAGGTTGCCAGGTGAGCAGCTGATAGGAGGGGGGGGAGAAAGAGAGAGAGAGAGAAAGAGAGAGAGGGGGGGGAGGGGGAGAGAGAGAGAGGAAAGAGAGAGAAAGAAAGAGAGTGGGGGAAGAGGAGTGGCAGACCAAGGGCAGAGAGGGAGGGAGGGAGAGAGACAGAGAGAGAGAGACTCTTTTGACATCTAAAATGAAGATAACACTGCATATATCCTTTTTTACCTTTGTGTGTATGTAATTTTATTCTCTTAAAGCATTCTCTTGGTGATCATGGTTTTAATAGTATGGATATTCCCAAGAGTCATATTTTTACTTTTATTTTTAATGTGTGTGTGTATTTGTGTGTGTATATACACACACACACACAAATTCTCTCTCTCTCTCTCTCTCTCTCTCACACACACACACACACACACACACACAAAAACACCTATAATAGAGATAAAAAAGGATATATGCAGTGTTATCTTCATTTTAGATATCAAAAGGGTTTTGCGGCTCCCAGTGTTTTGTTTTTGGTGGGAAACGGGTTCAAGTGGCTCTTTGAGTGTTTTGGGTTGCCTACCCCTGCTGTAGCTGAATAAATAAATGAAATATTTTTTTTCTATCTCTGCCCACAGAGGAAGTCTTTTTTTCTTATGAGATTATTATAGGTGAAAAGTTTATTATTAAAGAGAAACCCAAACTTTATCAAGCTTAGGAGCAAGTACAGACAATTTTAACGCAGTAAAGTATGTGGAATGCAGATGAGAAAAATGTCATCCAACTGAATGCTTATTTCAGCCAACTCAAACAAAACAACTGCATAACAGAGAAGAAATGGTGGAAAATGAGAGGAACAGATGTGGCCCCAGCAAGATTCTAAAGACTCCCCAAGATGCACAAAATAGGAGTCCCCCTCAGATCTGTTGTAGCACTATGAGACACCCCTACATATAACCTGGCTAAATAGCTGTCACAAGGCTTAAGCTTCCTGACCCAACCCTCAAACAGCATAGTCACATCATCCACACAATTTCTGACAAAACTACAGGACTTAAATATGGCTCCTAATGAGATCATGGTCTCCTTTGATGTAGTGTCTCAATTTATGTCCCTCCCTCCCCACTTAACATATGAAATAATAGATAAGAAAACTAGAAGAAGAGTACAACACAGATCAGAATGATCAAACCAGGACACGAATCATGAAGCTACTTCAATACTATCATCAAAGCACTTTCTTCACATTCAAGAGCAAAATGTATGAACAAATAAAAGGAACACCCATGGGATCCCTGATATCAGGAGTCATTGCAGAAACAGTCCCGAATGAACACAGTACATTTCAGAACTACACATCTAAATTCTGGTGCCGCTACGTGGATGACCCACTTCTCATCATCAAGAGAAATACACTGAAAGACTTTCATACCATACTGAATTCCATATTTCCCAACATACAGTTCACAATGGAGGAAGAAACAGCTAGGCAATTACCATTTTTAGACATACTTGTCAATACACAAGAGGATGGAAGCCTAGAAACCACAGTTTATCACAAGGCCACCAACATCTCACACATTCTGAATTTTAACAGCAACCATCCACTGTCACACAAAAAGTTGCATCACATTGCATGGTGATATGGCAAGGAGAGAACCTACTGTAATATCCAGCATGCTAACACAGCTGGAGAACAGGTACTACATGAATAATTCAAGCAGATAGGTACCCACAATCATTCGTCAGAAGATGTCTGCGCAGCACGGAGAGAGAAAGGAAGAAACAAGGTACAAGACCAACCACATGGCACACCCTGTCATACATCAAAAACATTTTGAAAGCTATAGAAGGCAGCTTCCGAGATCTGTGAATGGGCATCGCACACTGCCCACACTGCAAAGACAAATTATGCATTGCAAAGATCGCTCGGAGGTGGGAGATACTTCCAATGTAATCATCCGAATTCCCTGCATGGATTGCTCCTGTGATTATATAGGACAGACAGGGAGGAAGCTAACTACCAGATTTCAAGAACACAAGCGAGTGGTCAGACGAGGAGACCCGAACTCATTGATAGCCTCACACTGCAATGAACAAGGACACGCATTCAACTTTGCAGCGACTAATATTGTTGAATGAGCAGACACAAAAACAGCCAGGGAAGTGATTGAAGCCTGGGAAACAGGCCCCTTGTCAGTCAACAGGAGTGCTGATTTACCAAGTACTTAGAAAGTGAGGGCTGGGCGACAGCTAATGACTTAAAAGCCAGCTATCAGCACACCCCAATCAACATCTAAAAAGCCACAACCACACAAAGGACAGCACACACTCTGCTAGAGAGAAGTTCCCTGAAGATGGGCTGCAGCATGAGTCCTCTGGTCTCGGTGACCGACCCAGATTGGATCCTGCAATATTATCCTGGGACACATATATTTGCCTTCATTTGTGAGAAAAATGTATGCATGAATGATTAAAATGTTGAAAAGGAACAGCATCTGCTGTCACTTTTCCAAAACAAATTTAAACATTTGTTTTTTTCTATCTCATGTTGGGATGAACATTCAGTACAAAGCAACTGTTCCACTTTGTGACTGGGAGGTCAGCTAAGGAAACTGAAGCTATTAAGAGAGACGTCCTATGTGCTAGTATTATTTACTATCAAGTCTTGAGGGTAATGTTTTTTTAATCTCCTTTATACAGACTACATTCTGAGTCAGTTGTGTGCTTGGGTTTAAAAGTTGAGGAGGCGGAGATAAAAAGAAACATGCCTAGTATGAGACTTGCCATAAAATGAAACCTCTGTAATCAGAAGCAACCAGTTAATGAAGAACAGATATTTGAGATAGATAGCAAGAGAGCTGGCAACGAGTCACCTAGCATGACTGGCAATAAATGTTACTTCACCCTGGCTGCAGGCAATTTGAGAAGACACGAGTGGGGCATAGTTGTAGGCTTGCTTTCTGATTGTGAACTGGGGCACCAAAACTAGAGCACTCTCATGTTAGCATATTGTGGATATAGTTTGATCAACTCAAAATAGGGAGGAACAAAGATTTTTAGGACTCAATCCTGGCATCAGGAAAATAAGCAACTAAGCAGGAAATAGGCAGAAGTTTATTAAGGATTGAGCTTTATTTTAGGATAATAAGCATAGCGATTGCTTCCTAGAATACTACCTATTCCAGAAAGAGACTCTCTTTCCAGACTTATTTATCACAATTTGAATTTTTATTTAAGAATTAAGCACTTTGGCCTGAAATATATGAACTCCTAGTT